CTCCTTGCAGTGAGACAGGATTAAGTAAGCCAAGACCATCCCTGACAGATATTTGTCCAACCTGTTGTGAAAACGGGGATTTACACAACCTCCCTTGGGAGTCTATTCCAGAGCTTAGCTACCCTTAGAGTTAGAAAGTTTTTCCTAATACACCTCTACCCTGATATAACATGACCCGATATAACATGGATTCGCATATAACGCGGTAAAGCAGCGCTCGGGGGGGGGGAGGGGGACTGCGCACACCGGCGATCAAAGCAAGTTCAATATAATGCGGTTTCACCTATAACGCAGTAAGATTTTTTTGGCTCCCGAGGACAGCGTTATATCGGGGTAGAGGTGTATCTAATATCTAACCTATACTTTTTCACTAGGAGGGTGGTGAAGCACTGGAATGGGTTACCTAGGGAGGTGGTGGAATCGCCTTCCTTAGAGGTTTTTAAGGTCAGGCTTGACAAAGCTCTGGTTGGGATGATTTAGTTAGGGATTGGTCCTGCTTTGAACAGGGGGTTGGACTAGATGGCCTCCTGAGGTCCCGTCCAACCCTGATATTGTATGATTCTATGATATCTCCGTAGGTGCAGATTAAGCCCATTGCTTCTTGTCCTGCCTTCAGTGGACACGGAGAACAATTGATCTCCATCCTCTATAACAATCCTTAACATATTGAAGACTGCTATCAGGTCCCCCCTCAGTTTTCTTTTCTCACAACTAAACATGTCCAGTTTAGGTCAAGTTTTCTAAATCTTTTATCATTTGTCTTGCTTTCCTCTGGACTCTCCCCAATTTATCCACATCTTTCCTAAAGTGTGGCACCCAGAACTGGACACAGTACTCCAGCTGGAGGCTTCCCCAGTGCCAAGTGGGACAATTACCTCCTGTGTCTGACATACGACATCCCAGCATATTAGCCTTTTTTGCAACTGCATCACATGGTTGACTCATGTTCAATTTGTTCGATCCACATGTTCGATCCACTATAATCCCCAGGCCCTTTTCAGCAGTACTGCCATCTAGCCGGATATTCCCCATTTTGTAGTTGTGCGTTGGACTTGCCCTTCCTAACGAAGCACTTTGCACTTGTCTTTATTGAATTTAATGTAGCTGATTTCAAACCAATTCTCTAATTTGTCTAGGTCATTTTGAATTCTAATCTGTCTTCTGAAGTGATTGCCACCCCTCTCAGTTTGCTGTCCTCTGCAAATTTTATAAGCATAAAGTTATTAAAAAGGTCTTGGCATTTAAAATATTAAAATGTATAGTCTGCAAAGTGTTATGTCCCCTTGAACAAAGTGTAGGCTGTTGGTCCAAATTTTAAATGTTCATATACAAGTACTATGCTGTCCATTCATTTAGAAGAAAATCTTAAGAAATGGCTTAACTTGCACATTGAAGCCCTGATTTTGTGCCCATTGACTTCAAAGGCAAAGTATCAGGCCCTGAGTGAGAGTGCGCATATAGTAAGATTAAGCCCAGACCAGAACACTGGCTCCAAATCTTTCACCTCACAAAGTCTGGGAAAGTTTAGACCTAGATCTGGTCAGGAACATTGTGCCTCTGACCTGATGCCGTAATGTGGCATATATGGTACATGAGATCAATTGCCCTGAACACCTGCTCCAATCTTTGCCACTTAGGATTCGTTGAAGCATGCAGGGTCATAGGTCAGCACCTCCATGAATAAGTGGTCAATCAGGTCTTTATCAACACCTGGAGTGAATTGTTATGGCGGTGATAGGAATTCCAGGTTGGAATTGGACATTGAGGGCTAAATTTTTAAAGGGCCTCTACCTTTGCACAGGCAGTTTGACACACATCAGCACTTATGTATTCTTGAACTGTGTGCAGATAGCTAGAATAAGGCCTATGCACCACTTAAAACTCATTGGCACCTTAAATGGTGCCCACTTCTTGCACCAGCCCAGGAGTGAATAATGAAATATACACATCTAAGCAGGATTTGTGTGTACAGCTTGGTTAGATATCCCTCTGTCCACTTTGTGTACACAAATCATCACTACTCATGCAAATTCTCAGTTGCGTGCTCAGGGTTGTTGGTAGTGGTTTTTTGTTTGTTTGTTTGTTTGTTTGTTTGTTTGTTTGTTTGTTTGTTTGTTTTTTGGGGGGGTTGGAAAGTAGCAGTAGTCCTCCAGTCCCTTGAAATTTCCCCAGTTTTCCATGATTGGTTAAAAAAAATAACATTGCTAGTTCCCTTATGACTATTAAGACAATCTCTTTAAGACAATTACCCAGGGCTGTTGATCTGAAAATGTCTAGTTTTAGCAGAAGCTTCCTCACATCCTCCTTTGTTATAGATGGAAATCCTTCTGTGGCATCCCCATCACCATATTGGATGAATACACACCCCCTACTTCATTCCAAATACAGAACAGAAACATCTATTGAACATTTCTGCCTTTTCTACATCACTGTTTATAGTTTTACCATCTGCATCTAGCAAGGAACCTATATCTGACCTAGGTCTCTGTTGGTTTGTTCCTAATATATATATTTTTAAATGCCTTAATGTCTTTTAGCCTATAGGCCATTGATATTTCATAGATTTCTTTATTTTCCCTCATCAGTCACCTATATTTTTTTAACTTGTAACTTATATTCATTGCCATTTACTTCCCCTCTCCCCCGTTTATATTCATTTTCCATTTTTGATCACTGCTTCCACATCTCATTTTAACCTGGAGGGTCCAGCATAACCTTTTTTTGTGTCTGTGGAATCGTGGCTTTTGGAGCATCCCATAGGATAATTTATGTAGAATTAAAGCTATAGGACTAGGCCATTGTCACTGAGGCTTTAAAGACATGCCTGGCCTTGTTTTTCTTCTTCTTCCTTTGCAAAACACACTGACAACGTCATTTCTTAGGGCCAGATTTTCAGAAGGGCTGAGCAGCCACAATTCCAGGTTAAGTCCCTGGGAGCTGGAGGTGCTCGGCAACCTTGGAAAACAAGCCCTCATCTTCTTTTTTGTAATAAACTGACTACAGGAAACATATTGTGGAAACTTTAGAGCACCTGAGCCACAGTAATTTTCCTATATGTTTGGATCATGATCATGTTGCATTAAGAAACAAGAACATTGCACGGGACGAACACAGCCTGAAGCCATGATGTTTTGGATCAGGGTGTTGTTTTAACAGGCTACATTACAAACATGAGGAACGGTACAGAGTCTGCATGAGAGAAGCGAAGAACTAAAAGTACTTTCTGTCTGGTGAAAACTGTGCATTCAAAATAATATGTCTGTTTACCAACAAGCACACTGCAGAGTCTGTTACAATACCAATCCAGAAGGGAATCCAGAGACGTTTGAGTGGGAAACGAGTTATATTCTTAGACCAGAGGCCATGCACAAGGTAGTTTTGCCATTGACTTCACTGGGGGCAGAATTTCACATCAAGAGCTTAAGCGGGACTTAAATGGTGCATAGATGTGACCCAGGGCCCTCTTGTTGCCAACTGGCAGAGGGCACAGGATTCATAAGGGTTACAGGGATCCTCTGGGTCTGGTATCTACATCCTCGTTGACCAAAGCACGTCATTTAACGTCTCTACTGAAAGCCTGTGTCACAGTGGTCATCATAATCATTGTGCTATGTGTGTATGGATAATATGTAAGGAATTATGTATATATACTAAAAATGATGTTCTTAAGGTCTGTGACTTGGGGCTGGTCACCAAAAGGTGAGAAATAGGTTTCTTTCAGGCAAGCAATGTTTATCAGTCTGTCTCCATGTACACTGAGAATTGCATACTTCACAATGAACTCCTATTTAGTCTGAGCAAAATGTAGGGCGACCAGACAGCAAATGTGAAAAATTGGGACGGAGGTGGGGGGTAATAGGCGCTTATATAAGAAAAAGACCCAAAAATCGGGACTGTCCCTATAAAATCGGGACATCTGGTCATCCAAAAAATGCTACCCAAGTGATTGCAAAGTCTCCAGGGGAGGCTATTGACAGGAAACCCAAGCAGCGGGCTGAAAGTGAAGACAATGGATTTTGAGGGACTATAATTGTAGGTACTGAGATTCAATCTGTATCTTTCATCTAGGAAGTAAGCTGAGTGTGGGCTTGCTTCGTGAATGGACGATATCACAGCCAAGCCTGGCTGTAATATGCTGGAAAGATTTTGGGGGACATGACAACATCTTGGTGGTTAAGTTTAGGCTCTACTATGCATGTTCTGATTTTGTTTTACATGTAACCCTTTGTTTCCAATATTTCTGCTTGCTATCACTTGAATCTCTGTTCTTTGTTAAATAAACTTATACTTGCTTTCTCTACAAACAACTCTAAGTTCTGTGTGATCAGCAGAGCTATGGTATAACTGTGCCTTTGGGACCAGAGGATCTGGGAATTGTGGGAGTCTCTAGTGATCAGGGGCTGGGCACGCTAGGGAGACATTCAGAGGACTGGGAGGATGGGGTGCACCTCTGGCTGACCTGTACAGAGAGAGCAAGGCCTGCAGAGGCCTAGAGGATAGTGCTTTGTGTTGCCAGAGGTTGGTGGAGTTGGGGAACTGACCCATAGCAAGCACAGCCAAAGCTCATGCTCAGGGCAGGTGGTAGCGAGGTGCCTCATAACCCTGGGTACTCCAGGAAGCATCCCGAGAATGCTTGGGCGGGTCCTGTGCCCAGGGGTGAGTAGAAGTACCTGAAATGATGGGGAACCCGCTGGAAGAGACAGAGCCTTGCACATTCAGACAATGAGAGCGTCTGGATTAGAACATGAAAATAAACAAAGAGACTAAAGTAAATAACTTGTACTGGAAAAATCATCCAGAATGAAATTAACAAATTAGTCACACATAAAAATCCACGTATTGCACCTCTCTTGTAACGAAATGGCAGAAAACCATTGGTATATTTCATCATGTGAGGATGGATATTAATCTACATCCTGCTAATGATTCATGCTCAACATTCCTCTATACTTCAGTGGGAGTTGTGCACACAGCGCTGATGGTGTAATTTTACCTTTCAGGTGTAATGAAGTAAAGAAACTTTAAAGAAAGTTAAGCTGTAAAAATGTGAGACGGAATAAAACTTCAGACACCCTCTGAAGGGAGCGACAACTCAGGCTGAGAGCACAGCAGCAATAGAAGCCACAAGGATCCTACAAAAGCTATCGACACTCAGATTTTGATGAGTAATTTCTGATGGGCTATTAGATTGAAGACAAAGTTGACGACTGGCATGCATGGATGGTGGAAACCTTGAAGACCTCACAGCTGATTCTCCAGTGACTTAGTAATGATTTGAGACAGATGTGAAATGAAGGGTATGACACATTATGAAGTACTCGTAAGCTTTGAAAATCCAGGTCTTCTGTCCTCAGGTTTTATAAGGAAAAAAGATGAATGAAATTGTACTGAAGTTCTGTTGCATTAAATAAGGGGAATTCATTGAAGGGAAATAGACCATTGATATATGAGTTGGTTGAGTGTTATCAGAGTCTTTTTTCACTTGGAATATTTAGCCTAGGAGTAAGGCTGGTACAGAAAGAAAGATAAAAGAACTCTTTCTTTACCTGGCCAATTCCCTCAGTGGGAAACTGAATCACTATTGTAAGTTTGATGAGGGCTTAATTTAAGCACAAAAATATGGGGAGAAGGGGTTGGGAGTGTTGTGAGGACCTACTGAAAGGCAGTCAAGCAAAAAAGAAAAGCTACCATACTAGAAAAGAGTTCTTGGGTTTTAGCATGGGGATTGTTACTAGAATGGAAAGAATGTAAGACTGGCACACTGGGTCAGATCAATGGCCATCTAGCCCAGTGTCCTGTCTTTTGACAGGGGCTGGTACCAGATGCTTCAGAGGGAATGAACAAAACAGAGCAATTATCAAGTGATCCATTCTCCATTGTCCAGCCCCAGATTCTGGCAGTCAGAGATTTAGCGACATCCAGAGCATGGGGTTGCATCCTTGACCATCTTGGCTATTAGCCATTGATGGGCCTATCCTCTATGACCGTATCTAATTCCTTTTGAATACAGTTACACTTTTAGCCTTCAGAAAATCCACTGGGAACAAGTTCCACAGGTTGACCGTGTGTTGTGTGAAGTACTTCCTTATGTTTGTTTTAAATCTCCTGCCTGTTAATTTCATTGGGTGACTCCTGGTTCTTGTGTTATATGAAGGCATAAATAACACTTCCTTATTCACTTTCATCACAACGTTCATGATTTTATAGATCTCGCTACCATATCACCTTCTTAGTAGCCTCTTTTCTAAACTGAACAGTCCCAGGCTATTTAATCTCTTCTCATATAGAAACTATTCCATACCCCTGATCATTTTTGTTGCCCTTCTCTGTACTTTTTCCAATTCTAATATATCTGTTTTTTGAGATGCGGGAACAAGAACTGCACATAGTATTCAATATGTGGATGTACCATAGATTTATATAGTGGCATTATGGTATTTACTATTTTATCTGTCCCTTTCCTAATGATTCCTAACATTGTTAGCTTTTTTAATTACCACATCACATTGAGCATCTGTTTTCAGAGAACTATCCACAATGACACCGAGATCTCTTTCCTGAGTGGTAACAGCTAATTTAGACTCCATCATTTTGTATTTATAGTTGGGATTATGTTTTCCAATGTGTGTTACTTTGCATTTATCAACACTAAATTTCATCTGCCATCTTGTCACCGAGTCCTGTGGGATCCCTTTGTGACTCTTCACAGTCAGCTTTGGACTTAACTAATCTTGAGTAATTTTGTATTGTCTGCAAACTTTGCCACCTCACTGTTTACCCCTTTTCCCGGATAATTTATGAATATATTGAATACCATTGGTACCGGTACAGATCCTATTTACCTCTCTCCACTGTGGAAACTGATCTTTTATTCCTACTCTTTGTTTTCTATCTTTTAACCAGTTACTGATCCATGAAAGGACCTTCCCTCTTATGCCATGACAGCTCACTTTGCTTAAGAACTTGTAGTGAGAGACCTTGTCAAAGGCTTTTTGAAAATCTAAATACACTATATCCACTCAATCTCCTTGTCCACATTTGTTGACCCCCTCAAAGAATTCTAATAGATTGATGAGGTATCATTTCTCTTTACAAATGCCATGTTAACTCTTCCTCTTCCACATGTACATCTATGTGTCAGATAATTCTGTTCTTTACTATAGTTTTAACCAATTTGCCTGGTACTGAAAATAGGCTTATCAGCCTGTAATTGCCAGGATCACCTCTGGAGCCTTTAAAAAAAAATGGTGTTATATGAGCTGCCCTCCTGTCATCTGGTACAGAGTCTGTCTTCAGATACAGATTACATACCACAATTAGTAGTTCTGCAACTTCATATTTGAGTTCCTTCCAAATTCTTGGATGAATACTGTCTGGTCTTGGTGATTTATTATTGTCTAATGTATCAAAGTGTTCCAAAACCTGCCCTATTGACACCTAAATCGGGGACAGTCCCTCAGATCTGTTACCAAAAAGAATGCCTCAGGTGTAGGAATCTCCCTCACATCCTCTGCAATGAAGACCAATGCAAAGAATGCATTTAGCTTCTCCACAATGGCCTTGTCTTCCCTGAGTGCTCCTTTAGCACCTCAATCATCCAGTGGCCCCACTGACAGTTTGGCAGGCATCCTGCTTCTCATGTACTTTAAAAAAAAACAAACTTTTGCTGTTAGTTTGGGTATCTTTTACTAGTTGCTCTTCAAATTCCTTTTTGACCTGCCTAATTATACTTCTGCACACGACTTGCCAGCGTTTATGTTCCTTTCTGTTTTCCTCAGTACGATCTGACTTTCAATTTTGTAAAGATGTCTTTTTGTCTCTAACCACCCCTTTTATTCTGTTTTTTCGCCAGGGTGGCTTTTGTTTGGTCCTCTTTCTTTTTTTTATTTACGGTATACATATAGTTTGAGCCTCTATTATGGTGTTTTTAAAAGTTTCCGTGCAGCTTGCAGGGATTTTACTCTTGTATCTGTTCCTTTTACTTTCTGTTTAACTAACGTCCTCGTTTTTGTGTGGTTTCCATTTCTGAAGTTAAATGTTACTGTGGTGGGTTTCTTTGGTATTTTCCGCCACTACAAGGATGTTAAATTTCATTATATTATGGTTGCTATTACCGAGTGATTCAGCTCCATTCACCTCTTGGACCAGATCCTGTGCGCCACTAAATCAAGAATTGCCTCTCCCCTTATGTGTTCCAGGACAAGCTGCTCCAAGAAACAGTCATTTATGGTGTCAAGAAACTTTATCTCTGTATCCCATCCTGAGGTGACATGTATCCCCCAATAGGGGGATAGTTGAAATCCCCCATTATTACTGGGTTTTGTGTTTTTGTAGCCTCTCTAATCTCCCTGAGCATTTCATAGTCACCATCACCATCCTGGTTGGATGGGCAGTAGTATATTCCTACTGCTATACTCTTATTATTCAAGCATGGGGTTTCTATCCATAGAGATTCTATGGTACTGTTTCATTCATTTAAGAGTTTTACTATATTTGATTCTATGCTTTCTTTCACATATAGTGCCACTCTCCCACCAGCACGATCTACTCTGCCATTCCTATATATTTTGTAATCTAGTATTACTGTGTTTCATTGATTATCATCATTCCACCAAGTCTCTGTGATGACTATGATATGAAAATCCTCAATTAATACCAGGCAGTCAAGTTCACCCATCTTAGTATTGAAACTTCTTGCATTTATATATGAGCACTTATAAAATTTGTCAATATTTAGTTGTCTGCCTTCATGTGATGTAATTGAATGGGACTCTTTCATTTGACTGTTTCTCTTCAGCTCCTCCCTGCACTTTATCAACTTCTATCCTCTCCTCTTTACTAAGACATCAAGTATCCCCTTTAATAAATCCTCCCCTAAGGGATGTGTCTGTCTGAACCACGTGCTCCTCCCCACCTGTCGACTTTCCCCCAGCCCTTAGTTTAAAATCTCCTCGATGACCTTTTTAATTTTACATGCCAGCAATCTGGTTCTGTTTTGGGCTAGGTGGAGCCCATCCCTCCAGAATAGGCTCCTCCTTTCCCAAAAGGTTCCCCAGTTCCTAAAAACCTAAATCCCTCCTCCCTACATCGTCTCATCCATGTATTGAGACCCTGCAGTTCTGCCTGTCTAACTGCCCTGCACATAGAACTGGAAGCATTTCAGAGAATGTTACCATGGAGTTCCTGGACTTCAATCTCTTACCTACCAGCCTAAATTTGGCCTCCACGGCCTCTCTCCTACCTTTCTCTATGTCACTGGTACCTACATGTACCACGACCAACAACTCCTGCCCAGCACAGCACATAAGTCCGTCTAGATGTCTCAAGAGGTCCACAACTTTCACACCCGGCAGGCAATTCACCATGCGGTTCTCCCAGTCATCACAAACCAAGCTATCTATATTTCTAATAATTGAATCTCCCTGTCTCTCTCTAATAACAAGGGTCCCCTCTTGCAGAGAGGTACCCTCAGTGCAAGAGGATACCAAGACATCCTGTGGAGGCAGGGTCCCAACTGTGGGATCATTTCCCTCCACTCCAGCTGGATGTTCTCCTTCCCCTAGACTTTCATCCTCCTCAACAGCACAGAGGCTGTCAGAGCAGGGGCGGGACCAGAAAAGTCTCATCTATGTACCTCGCCCTCTCCCTTCGCTCCTCCAGTTTAGCCACTGGTCTCCAGAGCCCATACTCAGGGTGTGAGGGCCATGTGCTGCTTGCACTGAATGCACACGTACATCATCTGCCCACAAGGCAGGTAATCACGGATGTTTCATACAGTGAAATAAAGGATAGTTCTCACTCTGCTGCTGAACTTCTGCCTGCATTATTTTTACGTTTGCTGTTTTTTTGTATGTTTGTTCTTTGTGTGTGTATGAGGGAGGAGGGTGTTTGGTAGGTGTGGGGGTGGGAGGGAAGGCT